GTCCCTACGAAAAGATATACTACTACTTCTGGAAGTAAAGACCTTTTATTTAGGGCAGTCTCAAGTAAAAAATTTAGTAACTAAATATAATTTATAATTTATATTTCTTTGTCGAGCTATCATGTATGGTAGCTGAGATGTCTGCTTATATTTGCCTGTGGGATTTCAAAACCTTGTTCTGCTACAGATCAGCTTCAGCAGCACCTGGAAATGCTCTACAACTGGGATGGTAAAATGTCACAGAATTACAGAATATGCTGAGTTGGAAGGGACCACAAGGATCAAGTCCAACTCCTGGCCCTGCACAGGACCATCCCCAGGAGTCACACCATGTGCCCAAGAGTATCATCCAAACGCTTCTTGAACTCTGTCAGGCTTGGTTTTGTGACCACTTTCCTGTGGAGTCTGTTCCAGTGCCCAGACACCCTCGGGGTGAAGGACCTTTTTTGAATATCCAACCTAAACCTCCCCTGACACAACTTCATGCTGTTTCCTCAAGTCCTGTCACTGGCCTCAAGAGTGAAGAGATCAGTGCCTGCCCCTCCACTTCCTCTCCTGAGGGTGTTGTAGACTGCAATGAGGTCTCCCTTCAATCTCCTCCAGGTTGAACAGACCAAGTGACCTCAGCCACTCCTCGTACGGCTTCCCTCTGGACCCTTCACCATCCTCGTGGCCCTCCTTTGGATGCTCTCTAATAACTTAATGTCTTTTTAATATCTTGGTGCCCAAAACTGCATGAAGTACTCAAGGTGAGGCCACACCAGTGCAGAGCAGAGCAGAACAATCCCCTCCCTTGGCCAGCTGGCGATGCCTTGCCTGAAGCTCCCAAGGACATGGTTGGCTGTCAGGAGGCAAGTCAGCCCAAGGAGAGTGAAATCATTATAAATAATGATTGCTAAGTAGCTGCAGGAGGAATAACAGTAGGTAATGGGGATGTCAAAGATCTCAGTGCTGGACCTACAGCATCTCATATCAAGGGAATTTAGAAAAGTTGCTCTAACTTGCAGGTAGAGCTGGGGTGTCCCAGCACACACACCTGCCAATAAAGACTATGGCCCTTTCACTGAGGGATGGAGGAAGAGGAGTTATTTGGTTTGCTTTAAAAAAAACATTTAAAAAAAAAATTCATTGCGTTACCTGTGCGAACTTGCTTTAAACTCTGTACTTTGCAAGCTTTGAGAAGGGTGTGCTGTATGTACAGATGGTACCAAAAAAGTTAAGAAAGAAACCGCTCAAGAAAGTACAGGAATGCTGCAATAAATCTATATTGTCCATAAATTTTTTCTTTCAAAATGTAGGTGTTGGTATCAGTCATGCTATCAGTAGCATTTTTCTTTTTTTTTTAGATTTTTTTCCGCTCCAAAGATTGTGTTTTACAACCACCTCCAAATGAAGAAACTTGGTGATCAGTTTTCCAAGGATGCTCAGAACTGCAGTGCAGGAAATGTTGCATACCTTCAGTCAATTTAGGCTGACAGAGGAAATTTGTAGATGTAGAAGAAATAGAGGAGTGCAGACAACAGGATGGTCAATACAGAGGCAGTGTTAATAAAACAGTCTGAATGAGCCCTAGGGACAGACAGTGACTGAACTGGGTTGAGATGAATTCAATTAGATAGTTGTTAGCTGGAGACTGGTACAGCTTCTCAAAGTGAAAAGCTGCTGCTGTTCTGTGATGAGCAGATAGGGTACTATTTTCCTGTTAATTTTCCGAGTCTTTTTCGGAACTCTTAGAATCAAGGATGTCAAAAAAAGAATTAATCTCACAATCATCAGTTCTATAGAAAAATCTATGTTATTCACTTCTTTTAGCTTTTGTGGTTTATACCATTTGGCCTGGTCTAGCAGAAGATGTAAGGATTTAATGATTAAACTATTCTGGCTTTTAAAATTCACCTTTGACATAAATAAAGGATTTGTTTGCCAGTGGAAACTGTAATGCTCTCAGCAATGATGATGTATGGTTTTACACTACTTGGGAATAAAGCAGACGTTTGGCAAGCAGGGCCCTCTCCTGGTTTATTGCCTCCATGACACCCTTGAGGAGGCAGAGCTGCGTGAGGGACACAGGAGCCAATGCTGCCAGTCACTGCTGATGCAGATTTAGAGAGGAGCGGTCCTTTCAGCAGGGACTTATGTGCTTTTTCGTGATTTACTAAATATCAGAGCATATACTCAGAGTTTGCAGTCTGGGGATACACAGAAAGATCTGAACAGAAAAGGATGCTCATTTTGAGATAATCTGATTTGAACAGCATGCAACTTTTAAATAGCTTTATAGCCTTTGCTTTTTCCTCTTTGCTACAGAAGGTTTAGTCAACTCTGCATGAGAGTGGAAAATAAAGCAGTGGTCTTCTCTATAGCACTGGTTTAACTGCATTAAGAAGATTCCTTGTATGCATGTTAAAGAGTAACTTTTTTTAAAAACCTTGTTAAGTAGCAAATGATGTTGTTATTTGTACTTACTAAAGCTTGTCAGCTTTACCAGAGAGGTTTTCAGTAAATATTCTCAAAGATATTGCAAACCCATAACTTACATCTTCATATTTATTCCCAAACTCATTATCCCTAGTATGTCTTAGACAGGTGTATGTCCTTGTCTGGAGATCTGTAGCTGAACACAACAGCCAATCCTATCCCCAGAGCAACTGCCCAGGCACAGAAGATTAGAACAGGTTTGAAAGATCCTGCAGATTCCTAGACTTCCTTGCAATTCCAGTGGGCTTTGCTACTGTGGTTTCCAGGTGCAGCTAAAGGTAAAATATATTCCTGGTAGGTATAAAATGAAGTGGATCATCAAAGTACACATAGTACAAGGTGATATCTTTCAGTTTTACTGTTCCATGTCTCACAGAAATTAATTGTGCCCTCTGGTGTTTTTTGAGTGAGCATCATAATAGTTCTAAGTATAATAAGAACAAGATGTTTTCTGGGGCTGCTGTCAGTTTTTTCTTTTTGAATTTAAAACTCACTTAACAAGGCCAGATTTTTGGAAAAAAATTTAAAACTTTTAAACTCTACTTCAAGCACAACTTTCCATAGAATTAGGTTTGCATCCTATCTGCTGCAAACAAGTTCATTTTGCAAGGTACATGCTTGTCATTTAGTTGCATGGAGGGAAAAATTGTGCAAGGAATCATTTAAACATACCAAGAATTTCCCATACTGCCTGTATAGATTCTAGTCTTTTGTTTGTAAAGAAATAGCAATGATAACAATGCTTGACTTTTTATCAGATGTTGCTTTCCATTTTAATCACATGTTCATAATTTTCAGTTTTAGCAAGGTGCTCACGTAGGATTATGGCTAACAGTAGAAAGTGTATAAATAAACATTTATATACATATTTCAGTGCTTTTCTCTTTTTAAATTTAATATCATATATTAGATTTAAATAACTTTTTTTTTTCCAACTCAGAGGTCCTAAGAAATTGAAATGTACTGACTAGCGTAAAGGACATGAAGAATCCTGGTTTTAATGTAGTTCTAAAGGCAAGTCTAACCTTTATAATTGAAAAGATTGTATTGATGTTAATCCAAATGTGCTTTAATAATGGAAAAAACCCTCAAACCTCTAATTACCTATAGCTGTCTTATTTGCATTCCAGGAAAGAGCTCTGATTAATGGAAATTCATTATTTATGTCTCTAAATGCTGTGTATTTCAGGAACCACTTACTCTTGTTTAAAACTAGAGCATATTTTATGTTTCCATGAGACTAAGAGACCTCTGTCATTAAAAGCTAAGTGTAAACACTTTTGATATTTTAATCCTAAAAATAGAATCTCATTATTGCCACATGTAGTAGCACAAGTTAATGTAAATTTGGAGGGAAAAGGTGTGTGTATGTGTAATGGTAAGTTATTGCTATGGTTTTGCAGATAACATACATCATACAGGAATCTGGTTAATGTGCAGACCATACTGGGAAAAGCAATAAAGTGTGGTAGTAATATATTCATGTTAATACATTATTTTGGATTCTTCTCAGTCAGTTCTTCTTCAGTACCCATGAACTTCCAGCTTTAAAGGCTTCCAACAGCAGTCATTTCTAGAAGAAATAATTAATTGTTTCATTTTCCTGAAAATTTTTGAAAATCATGCTCTGCAATTTTTCTGTTCTGAAAGTTTAAATAGAATATTGAATGCAATTTATTGGGGATGAGTTATATGGCTTCTGTAAAGGAAGTTATGCATCACTGATAAGCAACCACTCTGAAGGCCCTCCCTCACTCACTAAGTATGTGAATCTAAGGCAGTCACTATAGTCTGATTGGATTTCCAGAACTTAAGGTCCCTCCCCAAAGTTATACTGATTTGAGAGGGACAATTTTCTAAGTGGTGAAAAGAATAAAACAAAGGAAAGAGGATAAATGATTTGTGGAGAGGAGTCACTGAAGGATGGATGCTATGGTCTGTCCTACTCAATATAGTTTTAAGTGATCTAGAGAAGGGAGTAAAAAGGGAGGTGACAAAGTTGGTGACTATGCTGTATTCCTCTGAAGCAGTAAAGAAAATGAGTGACTGCAAGAAATTGCAGAAGGACCTTGTGATGCTGACTGCATAGCTGTGAGTTGAAAAGGAAAACTGAGTGTTAGTAAATGTAAAATGAAACACAAAGAGGGAAATTATCATGAATTCACAAATAATATGATGGATTCTCAGTTCATTCTGTAGGTAAAGTGTTGGAAATATAATCTGTGAAAATATCACCTCCAGTATCAGTAATGGTCAAAAAATCAAATACAGTGTTAGAAATTGGAGGATAAGAAATAGAGAACAAATTAGAAAACTTCACTTGTATAAATCCATGACTGCCACCTGCACTTCTGGTCTCACCATCTCAAAAAGCTTCAGACAAACATTCCAAGGTTGATCAAAAGTATAAAAGATGATATAACATGTATGTATAGTTTGGGAGACTTTAAATAGACTAAATCATTTTAGCCTGGAAAAGAGGTGATTGAAGGAGGACCCAAAGGAGACAACTTACTTATTCATCAGTCAACACAGGTTTCTCGACATTCTTTTTCTGTTTCATATCTATTGTTGGTACCATTACAACCTCCATACCAGAACTGGCCACAAGAATCGCCATTCCTGTCATAGTACCATTTCACCACATAGTCCTGACAGTCCCCTGGTTTCGTAGATTCCAAGGACCTTGGATCTGAAAGTACATTAGTAAAAGTTAGCTTGGATTCTGGGGATAAGTTATGTTGTCTTAAAAGTGCCTCCTTCAGTAAGTAGAGCATCCCTTTTTTTTTCTTTCTTGTAGTGCCTGGTCAAATTCCATTTCTATTAATGAATTACCTGAACAGGCCTAAAAAAATACAGGGTCAGTTTGAAGTAGGACTGCCTAAATCCTGATTTAAGGACCGAGCTGCTATTTAAATACCTAAGCATGCAATTGGTATGCAACAGTATCATCTGGATCTGAAAATCTGGCTCTGACTGTGTGTGATGTCTGAAGACAGAGCACTCAGAACAACAAAAAATGATAAAATCCAAACTATATTGGAGGAGGGAGTGGGGTTTGCTCATTGTTTTTTGGTGGAGACTTGCTACTTAGTATCTGAGGACAGTGTTTATTACTTACCTTTCTGGGTTGTTGATACCTGTGTTTGCAACACAGTTGGCTAGAGATCTTCAGTAGCAGTTCCTCTGAAGGAAGGATTCACAACTGGACTCAGAGGTCTGATGTCAGATATGTCATAAACTGTGGGAAGTATCGATTCTCTGTGAGCAAAGCTGGTCACAGTGTGGTCCTGAGCAGATCACAGTGGCTCAGTATATCTGGACTGTGGTGGACTATGCTGCAAAAGGAGTCAAAATCTTAAAATTTAGTCTGGGCTCAGATGCTATGAGAAAAAAAAATTGATAAAATTTTTAAGGAAACTTTTGTTAAATAATGTGTGAAAAAATACAAATAACAGCAGGTCAGTTCGGACCTCCTTCTAGTGACTGCTCAGTATGGAATCATAATTTTCTGACACTGAGAGTGTAATGAAAAGGCAAAGTAAGGCAATCAGTTTAGTCACTAAGATGAATTCATTCAATTTAACCAACATTTCAGTCACCACTTGATCTGTAATATAAATAAAACAAAAAATTGAAGGAATTTTGGGGTAAATCTGTGCTCTTAACATCTAGTGCACTCACTGGGAATGATCTGATATCTTCAATCTGTCAAGACATGGAAAATGGCTGACAGGAGGAACAGGGTACTTGTTATTGATAGAAAAACACATGTACATTACACTCTGCCAAAGATCTTTTCAGATGTGAAATCCCTTGAGTACAGCAAAAATTTCCAAAACTCGTGTTACGGGGACCACATCCTACTAGTAATATTGTCTCACAAAAAATTTGTCCTTGTCCTTATCAAACCAAGTGAAAAATCACCCGTTTTCCTATTTCTAGCTAACAGCCAGTTGCTAATCATTACAATTTTAGAGTTTACCTTGATAAAAGTGTTAAGCAGCCAATCCTGCACTGCAAATTGCAACTATTATATAAAAATTTGCCTATCTAGTGTTTTTGTATATTCAAGAAGATTTGTAATCTTAGTGCAGCATAGTACAAGTAACTGCCTTAATCAGACATGTTGATTACTTACTGAGAAAGAAATGAATTTGATACTATTCAATATCTTTCCATTTACAGGCCACGACTGACACAGTCAGTTTAAGAAAACTCTTCGGAGTCATCAGAACTCTGAAAATTGAAGTCTATGTGAAATTTAAAGATGCAGACAGTTCATCCAATCCTTTAAATGTTGCATTTCTTTTCCAAGTCTATGAAAAGACTCTGTTTATTTCTGATAGTAGTTCAAAAGTTTTAAAGATTTAACTATAACCAGGGCCAGCTAGAACCAAGTGTGTGAGAATCTAAACCTCTCTGTGATCCTTATCACGTGCTTTATAAAGTCAGCATCTATAAATCTAGGTTTACAATTATTTTTCTTCATGATACAGAATGTCAAAACTGACCCTCAGTATCACACAGATCTGTCTGGAGGTTTTACAAGCCCAAAACCAAACTCAATCACAACTACCAAGGGAGCTCTTGTTCTTAGAAATTAACCCAGATTTTGAAAGTGAACAATATCATTATTCATGATATTATATAAACAGTAATAGAAAGGATTAATAGTAGCTAATCCATTGACACCTCCACAGTAAGTCAGTAATATTTAATTATCTCTAGTCTGTATTCAATTCAATTAATATTTAAATACCAGTATCATGGTCCAGTATATCCATTCCATGCAGCTATAGAGGTTTTTGCATCAAATATTTCAACAGTTCATTCAACTGGTTATAGGGGCAAGCAAAACTCAATTTTTATCATTGACTGTTTTTAGGCAAAGCAATAGAAACACTTTATAAAGTTAGTGGTGGTCTACTGCAAAGGTGACAAATGTCCTAATCTGGTACTACGACAGTGTCTGAAAAATACCGAAGACCTAATGAGGGAACTAAGGTGATACACACCTGCAGAAGATATTTATCTATTGCATTAAAACTCCACCCGTTCTGTCAATCTGTGCAGCAGCACTGTGTTGGAGGGCAGAACCTCAGTGCAGGTCAGGAGAAATGTAAAGCTGGAGAATGAAGAGTAACATGAATGAGGAGTCCTAGAAGCACAGCCCAACATGGAAAGTGAAACAACACCGAAGGTTTATTAACTTGGAAATATAACTGGAAACAATCTGGAAAGTGTGTGACCACAACAAGAAGCATTGTACTAAGAAGCAACTTGCACATAAATAAATGTCAAATGCACTATGTACCTGCCTCAATAGAAATATAAGATTTTTAACTCACTTCTGAGATGAATAAAAACTACAAAAAATGTGAGGACTGTTGGCATTTATTGCAACTAAGAAGCAATATTACCTTCTTTCATTGGTAAATGTCTGTTCTCAACAGATAAGTTCACTCTAACTTTAAAAGTCTTTAAAAAATATTTTGGTCTAGCTAACTGACATGTTATTTGCCTATTAGAAGACTGGTGAGTAGTGAAATAAAGATGGTAAAATATTTGAATTGAAATAAATACACATATTTTAAAAACATTTGATAACTGTTACTTCTTTACTCACTGGGTAACCAGTTCCTTCTCTAGGAAGCATATCAGTCTCTGAAGTGGTCATTTTAGATAACTGGCTATTTGTACCTTCACTGACAATTTGAGATTCCAGACTTGGAGATGGAGATGAAATATTAAATTTTCTGGTGTAGACTGCAGACTCATTCTCACAGATTTTTGTGATCAGTTTGTTTTCAAGTGCTGAAAAGATTAATGAAATGATGACATTTTTTAAGGGTAATCAAAAGAAGTCACGATGATTCAGCACAAGCTTTTATTGCAGTATTAACCCTAAATCTTTAATGATAGTGACTTGTAAAAGACCATCTTTTGTAGTTATGTCAAAATGCAAATGAGAAGTAATAAAGTAACACACTCTCTGAATTATTTGATTTTAAGGCCATATTGTTCTTTTAAGAAGAAACGGATGAAAAGACCAAGTTCCTTTAGGAAGCAGAAGTCATAACAGCGAAGAAAAACAAAAAACTTAGAGTAAAGAAAAGAAAAGAAAGTGTTTGCGTGTAAGAAGGAAAAAGAAAAACTGCGCAACACTTCCTACTTATTTGCACATAAGCCCCCAGTGACTAGAAATATTTTTATGTTGAATGCTGGAGTCTGAGTCAGAGCCCCAAGTTTGATCCCATCTGGGACCAGAATCTTAGCTTGGACTCTCTTCTTAATGCCTTAAATCCAGACTTAACTCCATCTACAGTCTCAACATAGCAAAATAAGCTTTTTCTCAGGAAAAATGTACTTTATAGGGCTGGTCTATGGTTAGTCTAGATCAACGTATGGGGCTTTTTTCATGGGTCATTATAGATTTCCTCTGGATTTTCTCCTGATTCCACCTGTGGCCACAGGATTTTTTCAAGCCACATACATTGAAACATACAACTTACTGTCAGATCCCATTCCCTTGTGTGTGGCTCCACCACTTATCCTCTAGAATCAGGATGAAGGCGTAGGTTTCTCTATGGATTTCAGAAAAAAACCTGAAAGAGTGCTTGTAAGAGATAGTAGAGGGATTTCAAGACTGATGAGAGCCATAAGAAGTAGAGAGAAAGAGAAAGAAACAGAAATGTTATGTCAAGGTGGAAGGAAATCTGCACCTCTCTAGGATGAAACACAAAAGGACTGTGAAGGAAGGCTGATGAAAGCTCTCACAAAAGACAAGTGCTCCAAAGAATGTCTGGGCTCAGAAAACTGATGCTCGTTGTGGTTTATTGTTTCTGCAAGAGGTAAAAATTTGGGAAAGGTTTCATCTGACCAAAGATGACATGAAACAGAAGAGTGAGCTGTATTCAAAAGAGGCCAAACTCTCTTATATGCTTATTTCAAGTTTCCTCTTACTAAAATAGTGTTATGAAGTCATCTATCTGGTAAACATGCTCTTCATCAGGTTCTGTTGCAATGAGCTGCATTTCTTTCAGAAAATCATCAAAATGAGGGTCAGTCCTTTGAACAATTCCAATGACAAATATCTCAATATTCATAGCATGGGCCTCTCTTACTACATTGTCCAGCTGTACTTTATCCCGAGAGTCTGCTTGTCCATCTGTTATTACAACAGCCACTTTCCTCACTGCTGGGTGCGCTGCCTGAAACAACTGAATGGCTTCTTGGATAGCAGAAGCTGTGTATGTGCCTTCTCCTAAGTAGGACATTTTGTCAACAGCTGATTTCAGGTATTCCTTGGTTGTGTATTTCTTTAGAGAAGACACCAACTCCACTTTATGGCTGAAGTTGATAATGCCAACACGGGTTGTAGCGTGGTTGGCCAATACCTTGTTTTGAATGTTTTCGTAAAGGTTTTGATAATTTTGAAGTTATCTGGTCCAACGCTTTCTGAACTGTCAATGACAAATACTAGTTCCAGTGGTGCTACTCTATATTTCAGACCACAACCTAGAAGAGCAACCATTTCAGACATTTTATGAGAAACCACCTTCATAAAAACAAACTCAACTCTTACATCAGATTTACAATCAGCTAAAGCTCAGTTAATGAATTAATCTCTAGTTACTGATACTGATCAACAGAAACAGAGCTGGACCAAATTACTTCAGGTATAGCTCTGGCAACATAGGGAACATTGTTTTCGTATCAAGGGTGTCCTTAGACACAAACATGCAGAGAAAAATGCATCCAGTCAAGATAAATTCACTGTGTTTTAATTTTACTAGAAAATTTTTTTTCCATACTGGAATGTTTACCACATATTTCATTGATAAGTCTGATAACTTCTTCTCTCTGAAAAAAGAGTATTAATTTGTTGTGTGTTCTAGTTTTAAGAATGCTGAAATATTTATTTATTTATTTACAAAAATGCAGGGAATGCATCATCCCATAAACAACCTTGTGTAAGACCACATAACCTTTAAACATTTTCCCCAAATAAACTCCTATTGTTTCAAATTAATTAATTGTTAAATGAATTAATTTACATCCTTACCGTAAGACCAGGTTCACCTTTTCTTCCCCAAGTTCTCTGAAAATGTGTACATTGAGATAAATTAACAAAGGCCAAATTTGTCTAATTTCTATTGTGTAAAGTAATATGAAAATATGTTTTACCTTTGGTCCTGGAGGTCCTGGGTCTCCAATTTCTCCTTTGGCTCCTTTGCTCGATGGATCACCTTTATCTCCATAGTCTCCCTAATTTAAACCAGCAGTGTTAAACTCATAAACTCAGTCAAAACTACAGTTTTGTTGATTGTCAGAGCTGGAGGTAAGGTAAGCTTTTAAGATGAATTTACTGATTTTGTGTGTGTGTGTATGTGGCTGGTTTATCTTTCACGTATTATGAAGAGAATATCTGAAAGCAGGCTCTCAGAGAAAGCAAGATGGGCAGTAAAAACATCTTTAAGAAATTTCTATGGAAAATTATCTTAGTTTGGCAGGGGGGACTTAAAGACATCTTTGTGCAAATGTCAAGAATATATAATATTTACTGTTCTTTGATTTTCTTGAACTCTAAAACAATGTTTATACTGGACCTATTTTGATTCAGACCTATGGAGAGATGTCACTGCCTCAGATCAGCCAATGTGCTGAAACTCACACCAGCTCTGTAGTGAGCTCGCAAAGAACAAAGGAAAAGGCATGCTTGGACTGCTACATCCATTGGAAAATACATAGTTTCACATTTAGAAGCAATTCTGCACTTTTTCCCTCAACTGACTATACCTCCTGATTTCCAAAACCTGGGAGGGTTCAATATTATGAGACAGTTTTCACATAATGCAGATATAAAACATACTGTAAATAGATTTAGGTTCCAAATCAGACATTTTTTCAAGAAGGGTATTGTTCAGGACAGTTTTTTTACTTCTCTCTGGAAGTTACTAACCAGCTTACATTTCACTTGAAACTTTAAAGCTTAGGAATTTATCTAGATTGCTGTCCGTTTTGATATTATTCTTCATTATTACCCATCCAATGGAATCACATAGGTAGCTCCTGTGTTATAGCCTTCACTGTGGTGATTGTTACCTATTTTAAGGAACCCTTTTGACTCTCTCAGTCTGATTCTAGTCTTATTCAAACTGTATAAACCTGAAAATTGTACGAAGGTCCTCCACAGGTGGTTTAAGAAAACCAGTCTCAACTAAGTAAGCTCTTGAAAGACAGTTCCTATTCTATTTCACAAAATCATAATATCAAAAGCAAAGGATATCACTTTCCATTACCTGTCCATGAATTGAATCTAGCCTCATCAAAGTTAATATCAGCGTTAATTATAATAGGAAAGTAAATACGATCTGCTGACTGCTGTAGTGCTGCTACTCTCTTACACATAAATATACTAAAACCTGATCCCTTTGGTATTTGGCACATATGAAATTCCTGCTGAGCTAAACCATTCCTTTTCATGTGTGACAAGTCTGCTGTATTAATAACAAACAGAAAAGTGAGTGTTTGGAGAGATTTACATTGGGTCACAAAGACTAATCAATATACAAGATGAATATAAATGGCTCCTTTCAGAAGCTGCACATCTGAGAGTCACTAATAAATAGATGAAGTATTTAAATTCTCTTTGCTCATAATTTGCTAGATGTGAATAGGTAAGTGGAGAAAATTCTCACCATTTTTATATCAACAAGAAAGTTGTTCAGTAAGGAAAGATTCAGGCTTGGGTTTAAATCATTGTAGAAAAAAACAGGAGTCAAACAAAACAAAGTCCGTAAGAGACAGTCAAAAAGCAGTTTTTGTGATTTTTTTTTTTTTCCAAAGCCTGGCAAATAAGGGACATTTTGTAATACCTGAAAAATATTTAAAATAACTGAATAAATAATTTGACTAAAATTATTCTCCTGCTAACAGGTATGACCTTGTTTTAGATCCTACTTTGGAGTGTGGTCCTTAATGACAATTAGGATTTTCAAAGACTCCAAAACTGACAGTGAGTAGTAGGCACATACCTTGCCAGCTATACAAGGAAATGTCTTTGCCTTCTGTTTATCCTCAAAGACCTGTCACACCAAATGATGAATAAAGGAAGAAAAATACCCTTTTTTTTTTCCTTACCACAAACCTAGGATTTACCTTTGGTTCAGGAAGGCCAATTCCTATTGATCCTTTCGGTCCTTGAAGACCTTGATTTCCTTTTTCTCCCTGAACAGAATATGAAATTTAATTTTAAATGAAAATTAAAGCAAAATCTATGTTGTCTCTATTTACTTTAGAACATTGTGCATCATAGAGAAAGCCAGATATTTGTATTGTGCAATGAAGCACACAATTTTCAAGATAAAAGTGGTCTGAAACTGGAGAAATAAGCAATTGGCTATGATTCAGAACATGCATGAAACCTTTTCAAGTATATAATGAAGAATTTATTCCTGATTAACTAAATGAAAATTACCATTTCACTAGAACAGATGAAATATAAAACTAACCTCACTGAGGCTCAGACAGTTATTCATTCCGTCTACAAGCAGTAAAATGAGATCCAACACAAAGGTTCTCTGGAAATACACATCCAGAATCTCACCCATACTTCAGCTGCCAAGCTGAACATCTTTCTGCTGATACTTCAAAAGACAGTATGGGTTTAGTTACAAAGCTCAAATTTGTTTGTAATGATTGTTACACACACCCTGCTGCATGCACACAGACTTGAAAAGCATGTCTATGCTAACAGTGTCGTCACACAACGTTATAAAACACAGCTGTTATATAAAATACAGAGAAAACTCTTCACAGCATCTGGCTTCCAAAACTTTCTTGCTTTATTTAATAGGGTAACGCAAATTTTTTTTTTCAGATCAACTGCTGTATGCATTTTTTAAGTACAGCTAGAGGTGATTATATTCCCTGGTATGTAAATGCTTCACCATAATTCATGTTACATAGATAATTCACATAACAGCAGTGCCTGGTGCAGATACCAAAACCAACTCCAGAGAATGTCAATGAGATCAGGAGCAGTCATCACCTGTACCAAACCTACCCCATGAGATGCAAGTCCAAGGTTAGTCAGTTCTGTTTTTCAGTCAAGAGCTCTCAGACTGTCCCACTAAAGCATCTATTACTAATACTTGTATTACTGCTCACAAATGGGGCACTGGCCATTCCTGGTGTGCTGGACAGGGGCTTACAGATTTCTGCAGGCAGAGAAGCAGCTGCACGGTGCACAGCCATGTCAACTTTTTCTTCCTGGTATTAAAGGCTTCTGACTCCCATGAGTTGGGAGTTCACCAGGAGTCAGGCAATGAGATGCAGCTGCTTGAAGACAGTGTACTATGAGTCATGTCCGTGGATGGTGTTCCCTGTCCAAATTCCAGATTTGACTGAGATCCTGCTGAGGTGGGAGCTTCTGCTTGCACAGGGGTGCATTGTGGTCTCACCTTGTGCTAAAGAAAGGTCCCCACTACACTCCACTGTTCACATCTCCACTGGAGCACTGCCTTTACAGCCTTGCCCTGTGGGAGCCTCTTGGTCCGCTAGCCCTAACTGAGGGAGCTAAAACGCTCTGCTTGTGACAGGCTATGTATCACTGACCTGCTAACTGCCAGCCTCTTGCCTCTGTAAGCAGAACTTCTCCCGTCCCCTCTCCCCAGTTTCTTACAGCAGCAAAAATTCAGACACCATTATGTAGACTCTGGAGACTGGAAAACAAACTGTGATGCACCAAGTTACACAGCTGATCGACCAGCGGCAGAAAACAAATTTCCTGCAAATAGGAAATACTCCTAAGGCAATGGGATGCACAAAGCAATTTCTTTTGCACTGTTGTAGGAACTCATAGTGACTAATCTAATTTCTCTAAGTCACTTTTTAGCAGGACTGTGCTTCTTGGGCCCTTCATTTAGGGATTAATGCAAATGGCTTTTAAACATAGTGAAACAGTGTGCCAACTTGTTTCAAGGCTTGCTGTTCAGCAGTGGCTTTGACTATCTTTCCTGACTAGGGCCATCACACACCTTCCTGACCAACACCTTTGCAGGTCTGCAGAGCACATCCATATGAACCAGAATTAGGATATGCCATGTATTCCAGTGGTCCTTCACTAATAATAAGTGTCAGATCCAATAAAACTAGAGATTTATTGCTGCTGTTTGTTACTGTTCATTTGACATTGTTAGGATGATGTTCAGATAATGAAAACTGAATGAGACCTACTGTTCTTTACAGGTGACATTTCTCACAAGCACACATGTGAGTTTCATCCTATAAATGTCAACTGCAGAACCAAATCCTGCTTCCACTACTTGTGCAATCAATCAACATTAGAAGGATTTACCATAGATGCCATAACAGTAGTAAAACCCGAGAAGTATGCTGTATTAATTTAAAAATATTTATAGCTTTGCCAGTTCAATCCATGTACCTAATTAAATTCAAACTTGATCATCAGTCTTACCATAAAAAAAAAAGTGGTATGCATGTAAAAATGCACATCCTTGAATTCCTGACCCTAATATCCCGCTATATGGTGGATCAATAATCCGTCTTCTACACAAAAATGTCATTCTATGAACGTAGTGCAGATTTGAGAATGTCTAGACTGCGGTTTTGAAAGGAAACCAAGCATAAAAAAAGAAAACCTGTAAATGTAGCTATCAACATAAAGTTACATGAAAACCATCTCATTTTTGGCATTCCATTCTTACCATATGCACACTGAGATCTCTTATTATATATAAAAAAATACTTGGAGTGATATTGATAGTTCAAATGCAGGACAATAGTAACTTTAAGCTGATGAAGAGTGGCCAAAAAGAATGAATCTTGACATGTGAAGAGATAGAAAGACAAAATAGACAGATAGAAGCTCAACAGGCATCAGTATATGGAGGAAACAGGTACACTACAGCAATTTGCCAAAGCTGCTCAGAAATAAGCTATTCCTAAGAATTATATAAAAATAATCATAATTTTTAAAAGCACTTGTTAAGGGAAGAAAATTGAAATGGCAAGACTGTACCCATACAACTCATGGGATGCTACAGAAACAACATCAGCTGAGTTTCATCCATCACATCATCACAGTTTTGGTTTCAAATCCAATGACAAAGACCTTCCATAACCAGAATACGTTACTTTCCAACTCCCTAAATTCCACATCCTTACGTTACAAACATACGTTTGTCTGACTGTGTGTCAGTGAACTGTACTCTGGCACTGGAAAACTTTGATAATGAAACCGAGGTCTCTATACTTCTGAAGTATGCTTTCGATATGTATTCATAGAAGTGCCAACATAGCACCCAAACATACATCTGTGTGTATCTTAACACATATAGAGAGAGAAACGTGTGTAGATAGATAGATATGTAGATAGAGAGATGTGAGCATATTTTGGGTAATGTTTATATTTTCTCACAAACAGAAAAGATATTACATAATTTGTATTATTTTTTCATGTATCATCTGATGCATTTGATTGCTGAAACATTTCTGTTCAGAATGGCAATTATGCTTTTATAAATAACCTCACATACCCATAGAATTAACAAAGATATATCCCAAATATTAGATTCTGGAAATACAGCAGAAATGGTTATTAAAGACAGGCAGGAAATAGTTTTCCTAAGATGACAGAAATTTTTCTAGTTTTCACAAGAATTGAGCAAAAAGCCTTCAGAGATTCAACAAACAAAGGGAGAAGACAAAAGAAGATAAGAAGTATTTTATGTCCTCACATAAAAATATGTAATAGCTTTGTGATTATTGTTAGCAATTAATATAGAGGCAAACTGCAAATGGATCAGAAACAAATGTCTAGACAGTCATGACTCTTAACTGCATAGACATCTCTGTCTAGAAAAGCCTGGAAACAAAATAAATCAGAACCCACAAAAGTGACTTATACAATAAGGGGAAAAGAAAGAACATAATAAAGTATGGTTTTGTACTATGAAACACCTCACAGTGAAAAAAGGAAGGTCTCTGCAGAATAAAAAGGGAAATGATTGAACAGATATATAAAAACCGAAGACATTAAAGATGGAATCAAAGCAAGTCCTGAACAAAATAAATTCCAAAGGAATATGTGCTTTTCTGTTAAAGCTTGTATGAAATAATTCTACAATGAACCAAAGAAAGATTCTCCTCTGGATGATTTTTCAAACAATATACATTTTCATAAATCTGTTTGTTTGTTCCAGAATGTCATTATTTTCCTGTGAAGACCTGTTTGTCAATGAAATCCCCAGTGGCTTTAGTGTCTACAGCCAATCACAGTATAGAGAAGCATCTTTTCTAACCCAGCTAGAACAATGCCCCTGTTACTGACTTACTGGTGGTTTGACAACCTAGACTTGGAGACCTGAGCACAACACCCCTGACCAGGAACATATTCCATCATATGCTCAATTTTAAGCACACTGATTTAATAAAAACAGGAGAAACTTGTGTTGTTCTTCACTATAGCCTCCAGTTTTAATAATTTTTTCCTACACATTTATGACAAGGCAATTTAATAACTTTGAATGTCCAGAATATGTTGTCATGTTTGTGTTTTGCTTCATAAGGAGAGAAGTTGTGGTTATGGCTTGAACTGGGTGAATAAAAACCTGATTAAGAGTACGTGGGAGACTACCTAATTTCTTTTATATTCTTGTATGTGTTGTTTAACTCATTTTAACATAGTAGATCTCTATTACTGCCTTTTAGAAGTGCAATCCAGAGAAAAACCTGCTTTTTTTCTTTGGAGCGTCCTTTCAATCTAAGTAAATCAGTAACACATGGCAGAGATGAGCCCATTTTTCCAGGTTAAATATATTTGTCATGATGAGAACAACAGGAGAGCAATTGGGTGAAACCAAAATTGAAAACTCAGCAGATAAAGTAAGTAGTACGTAATTTATTAATAAGAAACTTAAGACTAAAATGAAATATTGCAGGTGTTCGCTTACTCAGTGACAAAGAGGAAAAAAGACAATCAATCTCCTAAAGAGTCAGTTTTAAGAAGAAACTGGACAGATATCACATTAAGCTGTATTACCTTGCTTCCTTGTATGCTGTTGCCAGGGAGTCCAGTTGGACCAGGCAAGCCTTTTCGTCCCATAATACCCTATAACAGTGAGGCAAAAAAAGAAGAATTAGGAGGTAAACTCCTGGTAACCCTAAGGAAGTCATCTCAAAGTCACTGCAAGCAAAAAGTAAAACCATTTCAAAGACTAGTTCAGATTCCTCTTCGGTTTATGGTTTCTCAGTGTGGATCTTAGTAATTATCTTTGGCAAATTTCCGGGGAAGCAAAGGAACAATTAAGCTTAAAATAATTAAAGAATAATATGTGCTCATGACACAGTGTGATATTTGCCCCACTTTTTCCCCACATAGAAGACAACAAAAAACATCTTTGTACAATAGCTTCCTATAATCCCTCCACACAAGAGAGGCACAACAGTAGAAGCACAAAAGACCAGAGTAGTAACACCCAGTGCAAATAAATCTGCCAGGCATGTTGGCTAGTTCTTGTGCACCACGTGTATATGCCAAGCCCCTGTGGTGCCATAGTCTTGGGGAGCACCAGTCATTCAGAAAATAGTAAGTGGGAGGGCAAGGATCAAGCAGGATCTGCTGATTTGAGTCAATACAGTCAAACTCAGATGCTTTGCAGGTAAGCTAATCTAATATTTTTAATTCTCAAAGTCTTTGTGGAAACAGCACAGGGTGTCACGCATTTGTAGCATTTTAACACTCAGTCCAAACTTACTATTATTAAACAGACTGTGTCAGTATGATTTACCAAGGTACTGAAATTGCTGCAGCAATTGCAAAGGAAATCAATCACATCTGAAAATGCTCTGTTGCTTATTGCATTTCTGTAAGGGGTTGGTAATTGCAATGTTTCTTAATTCAGATACCAGTTTATACAAAAGGGCAGTGGAGGCTTCTGTTACTCTCTGCTAATTCTAGAAAAGTTACAAAGTCATATCTATTTTTAAATTAAATTAAAGCAGAGAAATATACGCAATATTTCTCCTCATTGCCTTTGTAAAAATAATTGATGGATACACCTGTAATAAAGAAATCCAGGTAAGTACAGAATTTCTTTTCTTCTCAGTATGTCTTTTTTGAATCATAAATCACTTTAGTGCAGGGAGAAAAAATTGCCCAGATGTTGCATGGTTTTTGCTTATAAAATTAGCAATTTGTTTTCCTGTTTCTTTCCTAATGGTTTTACTAATTATATAATTGGATTTGATTTTATTGGGCAAAAATTGCAACCAAAAATTCACATTTAATATATTTTTCACCACAAAAGAATATCTTGGAAACAGGATAGATACCGGCAGAAGAAATGCATCTTTTAACTGATTTACCAGTCTAATGACTCTGTTCAATTTCCAGCTGTAATCTCATAAAGTTTAGCTGCAAATGCAATTTTTATCCTGTTAGTATCCCTTCCTAATTCAGTTGGTAGAAGTGTATGGTCAGTGACCACGTTTTTATGCTTGATTCCTCTTGCAGTTTTACAGATGTAAATCAATAGCCGATGAAGATCTTTTGGTGTCTGAAAGACCAGAGTCTGGCAGCCAGCATCACAAAACAGCACAAAAACTTCAACACAGCATCATACAAACCTTGGGACCAATGGTTCCAATTCCTGGTGGCCTCGGGGGTCCAGGATAGCATCTAATTCCATGGTCTCCCTGAAAATAGTTACAGAAATCTCAGTCATTTATCACCTAATAACTATTACATCTTTCATCTACTTATGAAGCAGTCAAACTAATGAGTTTAAAAAACAAGCTAAATAAATGCTACATGAATAAACAGCTGCTTCATAGATCGGTATAAAAAAGCACCCAAAATACAGCACCAACACTATTTATGCTCTATGTGAAGGTCCATGTGATCAAAATCACCAACAGAGTTAGGACTCTACTTTGCAAACTTATCAGATACAGAAAAAAAGAAAAGCAAACCCATTTGGAAACAATACCATCTTCCCATCACATTTTGCAGTGGTTTACCAGGATGGACAGGAAACTTACTAGTGGGACACAACAGTGATCATGCCCTTTACTGATTTTGTGCTTGTTCTGACACTAGAAACATTTAATTTCCAGAACTGTCAAACTTAGGCAATTATGAAAACTAAATGCATTTTAATAGAGTTAATATAGAAGAATAAAAAGAACAGCCCTTTGTTTTCTTAGAAAGCCTCAATACAAATACTTTCAGCTTGATTTCTTAAGGAAATGAGGCTTGAGAGATACTCCGCCTCTGCTTCTGCTTGTCTGTGTTGGTCCTCTTTTTTTCTTCCAGTATATTAAGAAGTCATTAGTTGATTTCAGCCAAATTCATCAGAAATGTGTGGTCCTTGAGCATATTCATTCTCAACAGTTTTGGTGATAGTTGGAGGCTGAGTAGTGGCAGTAGAATCAATCTGCGCTTTTACTGAGAAACAAAGAAAACCCAGAAGGGACTCATCCCTTAACCACCAGGCAGAGAGAAGGCAGCAGCTGTCTAGTCAGGGGAAAATGAGTGTTACATGGAGCCTTGTGCTGCAGACAAACCCAGCAAAAGAGATGAGGGTCAGGGGACACTGATGATAGTGGAAATGCACAGGGACAGAAGAGGCAGTTTTGTTTTCCTCAGTCCGTAATTGTACAAATGAGGGAATAGGCTACATTCAACAAATCATCACTGGAAAACTCCCACAAGTTTGAAAAGAAAAAAAAAGTTCCTAACTGATGAGTTATAAATGCAGAATATTCTGGATCAGGCTTAGCCTGATATCCCTAAACCTGTGACTGTACAGGCAAGTGCAAAAGCAAGAAATTTACTGATAAGCTATTGATCATCCAATATATTAAAAACAGAGAAGAAGAAATTGCATTTATTGACATAGTAATAAAAAAAATTATAAAAACTCTTCATTGTACTTATTTTTGCACTCAGAAAAACTGCAGAAAGGGCTGCACCTGCAGAGGGAATATTCGATCTAGGAGAGAGGTGCAAGTATAAATCACACAAATCACAGATGTCACTTAAGTTGTGCTAGGTGAAATGAAACAACATATCAAACAGATAAAAAAGGAAGGAGAGAAACAGAATCTTTTACTGATTTTCTTTACTTTGCGGGAAGAATGTGCACAGCCATTATAGTGACTGCTTTTAGGTGAAATTCCCAAGGTTCAATCTCTAGCAAGACATCACTCCTATCTGTGTTTTTTATATATGGCTATGATACTCTCGTACTAGGTCCCAACATATATGCTATTTATGCAATATACCAGGGCCCAAACTATGCTCAGGTTTGAGGGATTTGGAGAGGTGAGAACTTTGAATACAAAGGCTAAGGCCTACCCTGAGCTTATAATGCTTTCCTTCTCGATGTAATGCTTGGCTTTGGAATTTCATTTCAATTCTTTCTTCCAAAGCACTGGAGACTGGCCAGTTTGAGTCAGGACATAGGCATGGTACATGGATGCTCTTAGCTTTAAATTGCTGTGTCAGGCTGATTGGGTTAAACTGACTGCCATGTTCAGTTGTGAGGAAATTTCTCTCTCAGATGACCTAAGGTTTTTATATCACACCTTCCCTGCCAGTGCAAAGAGCCAAGACATTGAACTTTTTTTCCAAAATTTTAGCTATAAGCTCTTAAAGATTACAATCTTAAGTATGTAAATGTTGTAGCTCTTTAGTCTGGTACATGGTGGTGTGAAATGCCCCTCTGTAGTGGGATGAATGGTAGATATTTCTGATGTTTTAAAATACATCAATGCCACATGTAATGCATTTTCTTACAATTTCCTTGAGATTGTCTCATTATTAGGAAATACTGAGAGTTTAGGCAAACGTAGCCATTTGTTATCAAAGGAATATTTATTGGTACTCAATGTCCCCACAACCATAATACAGCCTTAAGCTGTTTGTAGAACACTTCGTGAGCAGAAGTTGCACAAAGCAGCCAAAGCTTTCCTTGCCCAAGCCTCCCTCTGAAACCTGCTAGAGGTGCCAGAGCTAAGAGATACATAGAGATATATACAGATAAGAGTTTTTATTATAAGTACTTTTTAGGAGATCCTGGGCTGCTGTGGCCTGAGAAACAGACTGTGAGCTGCTGTGATGGGAGCTGAATGGGAGGTTACCAAACATAAATGATTCCTTGTGGTCCAGTATCCCATTTACCTACAACCTGCTCTTAGACCAGCCTAGACCACAAAGAGCGTAAGGGTGACTTGAAGTCATCCGACTCTTCCTCCCATGGGTAACACAGTCTTACACAGGGTCATTGCAGGTGACGGATTGAATTTTAGCCTCACATGCTTAGTTAATAACAGATGTCTCACTGAAAAGCTCTTTTGTAGAGCTTTATAGTAATCCTCAAAGTTTCTGTATTTCTTGGCTTAAAGAAAAAGACTTTTATTTGCTTTATGAGTTGTGAAGTTGAGCAGTTCTTTTTTGTAAGGTGTCACACTAAACTGTCCTCCAGAGAATTAATTTCAAGAAGGATTAGTACTGTTCTTTGATGAGGTCTAATTTATTTCCTGCATTGTGCTTGTAGACAAGCTTATCACCATCAGCAAAACAGTGAACTAGAAAAACACCACTGAAACAAGAAATAAAGAGCTGAGTCAAGACAGTGTAAAGTATGGGATTCCTATGTCTGTTCTGTACCATTTATTCAAGAAAAATGACCTAATGGTCACTGAAAAGTAAATCTTGGCTTCCAAATATATATACCTCATTTACTGTAAAGCATGTGTATTTGATACTCAAAATTATAGCAGACACTGCAATACTGTAGTGACAGCTAATGAATATAACAGTATTTGTAAGACAAAAATATTATAAAAAAAGATATTACATCTCTACTTTCCACATTTTAGTTCAAATAGTCAGGGCCCAAGCTGCAAAGGTTGTTTATGTTGCAACTGGATCCAGCCCAAATGTTCATACACTAGGGACTGTGCTAGGGATTTTAATAATCTTTCTGCTGTCTAGTTACTTGCTCTATTTCTAGTGCTGGGCTCTTGCACTTGAATGTCTGTAACCCACCTCCTAGCTGGCAACAGTGCTTTTATATCAAAGTTTTTATTGTATTCTGACATTATGTGCTTCTGTTTTAATGCTACAGAAAATAGGGTGCTGCCAGGATTGAATGCATCCCACATGTCACAATTTTGTTTTCATGTGAATTTGACCTCTGATATATAAAATTCCCATCTGGTAGTGTGCACATATGTGAGCCATTTCCGAAAGCAGAGAGAACAGAGCTGTGATTCAAATGAGTGAAACATTCCTATATAATGATACTCAAAGGAATTTCAAATTGACTAGTGTGTAAATTTATGAGTCTCTTTTATCAAATAAATGTTCTTTTTTATATGCAGAGATTGTTGCTGTTCTTATATTCACTTTTTTTATGTGGGAGGGATAAGAGGTAGCCAGTGCACTTATATTTTATTTAAAAAAACAGAAGATCATCCATTTTATGAACTAAGTTCTGGTGGAATTCTTGCAATTCAGGTAAATTCTTTTTCCTTGTGGAATCTTTGCTACCAAGAAGTCACGTAGAGATTAAGGATTTAAAAAGTAATATGGGCAAACAGAAACAAAAAATCAAGGAAAGAGAAGTTTATATATTTAGTTTCTTTTTTTCCAGTCCACTCTATACTATGTCTGGTGTGGATACACAGAACTAAATCAGAGATGTTATATCTCGTTGGATAATGCATGTTTTTGTGCAACAGTCATACACTGCAAAAGCTACAGCTGCTCACTATGGATAGAACAACATACATTCCACCCCACATGACTTGCAGATCAGATCATCTAGTTTAGCTTCATCTGAAGGAAATCCACTTCCTGGCTTGTGGGACCACTGAAACCCCTTTTTGGTCTGGAAACCAAAGCACAGTAAATAGGTCCATTAGGAGATTCTCATCAACAGCACTTCTCCAATTGAGCCTAAAACACACACGCAGATCAGCTGAGACACTGAGTTTGTACTTATGGTGCCCAAACTAAACTGGCTCATATGCTGAGGGTTTCTCCTCAAGCTGTATCACACCCAGCTCCCACAGCCACGGGAGGCCCTGCTCTATGAACCTGAAAATGTATGCTTCCAATACACGCCTTTCAATAATTTGGTTCTTAGATTCAAGCGACCTAATTCTGACAGTTTTTGTGACAATGGAGATGACTTGATGGACCCAGAATTGACAGGGAGCCCATGAGAATAGTGACAACTATTTATCAGTTTGTTTTTGCCTAAGATAAGGATAAGAGTTTCTATTGCTAGATATTCCATTATACTATTTCCTGTTGTAATTAAATACTCTGAAATTATGAGCCTCACATCTTGGTGCCTGCTATTTCACTTTTGCTCAGTCAAATCTAGGTCAAAGCAACAGGCCTTTTGCCAAATTTATTATTAATTGATAATGTTCAACTAACTCAACACAGGTCATATTCCTCCATAAAAATATGCTACCAATAAATCTCTTTACTAGTACCGTGAACACACTTCACTTCACAGATCTTGAGGAATGGTAATACTCTCTAGGTTCATGGGTGGAGAAGGGACCAACTTGATGTCTCTGTAAAGGAATATGACCAACTCTCTTCAACTGGCAATAATTTACAGTACTTAGAGACAAAATTGGAAACTGTAAGTATTATAATAGCTAACCTATGATTTAATTAAATATATTCAACATTTTATCAAAAGACTTACAGTGGTTTAAGAACAACTGTGATAAAAAGACTAGATCCCATGTCCTCCACCGCAAAAACTGGACACATTTGCTCTTACTCTACAGCTTTTACCTTCTGCTTTCTAATGCATTTTATGATACCCTGTTGTACTTCCATCATTCATGATCTGAGCTGGAACTTTTCTAATAATTATACAGCCCATGAATCCCATGAATTCATGATTATAAGAAGAAAAGGAACTCGTGGCCCACTTTCTGATATCACATTTAAGCCAGGCACTACGATTTTCCTAAGTGCATTCCTGTATACTTGTGTATTTGCAATACTTTTCAGAAACACAACACAAACATTGATTTTAAAACTTACAGTTGTGAGAAATTTCACTGCAATTATTTTACTGGTTTCCTTTCAATTAAAAAGTAATATTTTATTTTGATTTTGGATTTAAGTCAAATTTCTTTATATTAGCCTCCTATAGTCCCACTGAAATTCTGATTTATGTTTCTGGGGTTTTTAATCTTTAAACCATGGCATCATAGTGGGAGATCATCTTATTTGACTACCTGACATGACTTTCTGATTCCTTTTCTTTGAGAAACATTGCTTTCCAGAATTATATATTTAGGAAATAGAGAGGAATTCCAGACAAAATGATGCCCCTAGACATTTTGTAGTCATAAGTTACATTTTTAACAACATTAATAATAATTTCATATGAGATTCTAAGATTTTAATGAAATATTTTTCTATAGTACCAACAAAAATGTATTATAAGACTATATTATATAAAGTCTGATATCTAAAATGGGAAAAGACACAGAAAAATTTAATTAGTTAAGCCATATGCATTTTCCATAAGTTTATCCTGAATAACATAATTGACATTACTTTTAGTTCTTTAGTAGTTTGTGTCATGGACTTTACATTACTTGATGTGATATGCCTCATATTGATGAGCAGTTATTCAGAATAGAAGCACAAAGCCAGGTTTCTTAGATCCCAATGTTGGACCACTTTGTGGTAATTCTAAGGTCAAGTCCTTCTAAGAATGAATGTCCTTAAGTTTGTCCTTTCTTGTGGATATTTTTAAGAGGTTATTGAAGTTTATTTTAAACAGGAATTCTCATGTTCTGGGAACTAAAGTTGAAAGTTCTTTCTGTTTGGGAAAAAACTTCTTTGGGCAATATTTATTTTGTTTTCTCTTGATGCTTTTTTCCTATTTCCCACTCCATGGGTTATTTTAAAGCAATTTGCTGTATGATTTTAGTCTTAAGTCTCTTTTTCTGACTTTTTATAGTGTAGTAGTAACAATGCGACTTTTTAGGTGAATGACATACTGCTTGTAACACTTTATCTATTCTGTGTTTTATGAAAAATCTTGGAAGTGCTTCAGTGTTGTATTTCTAATCCCTTTGTCAGCTTCTTTGTTTGTTTGTTTTCTCTGTTGAGTTTTGTCTCTAAGCAAATATTAATTTTAGATATAAATGTATAGTCTTCTTGTAGGAATCCATTTCTAGGAACTTTAAAAATATCTCACTAGTTCCATGTAACCCCTGACTCCCTTTTCACCTCATGCTTTGCACTTCTGTAGGAGAAAGGAAGGGCATAATTATTAGGCAACGCCATGCTTGTGTTGGAATCTTATTTCCACATGGAAACACCAGCATCTAGAAACATTCTGGATCTTTGGATGCATGGAAAATCTGCAGATTTACATCAAGTCTGGGGATAAAGCAAGAACTAGTTTCTATCATGGCAGAAAAGTCTATCACAAGCTTTTCTTCTAACTGAAATGGAAAGTGAAAAATGAGAATGCTATACTTTGTCATATTTTTTTATTCTAATCTAATGCATTTTTGTAAGATATTTGTCTACCTTGTCTATGAGTCAGATGCATGTACTACTATTGTACAGGTACCTTTAGTCCAGCATCTGCCACACCTTTTGGGCCTGCTGGTCCTGGAGGTCCCTGGTACAGCAGAGCAATAAAGCACATCAGTAGCTGTCCTAAGGGAAGAGTACTTATATGCTTCAACAAAGAAGAGAATTTCTTCACATTTCTGATGTGTACTGAGCAACAGCCATCCTCAGTCCCAGGTGGAAACATAAAAAAACTATTAGGGTGGTGGAAAAAAAGTACAGCTCTTGACTGAAGAACACTGGAGTTGTTCTCAGCTCAGAGAAAACAGTGAGAAAGCAGACAATGCTCCATGATTCATACACTGCAGACATTAGACAAATGGAAGACCAGAGCTAACCCACCTAAATTTGGGGGTTAAGTAACCCCGTGTCCTGGTACAGTTAATTTCTTCTCAGTAGCTGTTACAGTGCTGTGTTTTGGATTTATAAGAGAATGTTGTTGATAACACACTCGTGTTGTGGTTTTTAGCTAAATCATGTTTATCCTAAGTCAATGACATTTTTCCTTGTCTTATGCTCTGCCAGTGGGAGGGAGCATAGACAGGACAGGTGACCTGAACTGACCAAAGGGGATATTCCACACCGTAGAATGTCATGCCCAGTGTATAAACTGGGGGGAGTTACCTAGAACTGGGGCCAATCTGGGTTCAGGAAGGAGGGTCTGGCATTGGTTAGTGGGTGGTGAGCAACTGTCTTGTGCACCACTTGTTCGTTTCCTTTTCATTATCATTATTACTATTATTATTTACCATTATTATTGTAGTTTACTTTATTTTCAATTATTAAGCTGTTCTTATCTCAACATACAAATTTTACTTTGATTTTCCTCCCCATTCCACTGGGGTGGTGGGGGGAAGAAAGGAGGGATTGAGCAAGCAGCCTGCATGGTGCTTAATTTCCATGGCTTAAGCCATGACACCCTAACAGACTTGGGTGCGATTATGTTTGATAATCTGTTCCCCTGAACTCCCCGCTCAATTCATCAGCCCCTTCAGCTGCCTTTCATGCTGTTGGAGGCACTCCCAGCCTCTCTTTCAGCATTTGTAAGGCAGATGTCCTTGCCCCATCATGCTACAGAGACAGCTACATAAATCTTGTCCATGTTGGCCAGTGGTTTATGAAGTTGGTCTTTCCAGATCATGGGGCACGGAACAGCAGGGAAAAGATGCGTGTTACAGTGCAACAGAACCTTTACTCATTACATGACGTGTCAGGTATGTGACATTACACCAGGAATTCTGAGTGAGTGCCTTATGAACTAATTCTGGTCCCAAAAGGTCTTCCCATGAACAGTTTGAACGATAGGAAACTGGAGCTGAGTCATGACTTATTTGAAAGCACTCAGGCCCCACCTCAGTGCATTTGTGAGTGCCTGCATCATTGTATTTTGAAATAAAGCTGGATTAGAGACATAAAAAAAAAAAAAGCTAATGGAATTTTGACTTGGTGGTTGAAGGACAGCAACAGTGTTTTCACTTTCTAGTGAGAGGCTGGTAAACACGTCTGTATGGTTTGAATGGCTGAAATTTAGGATGATATGCCCTTGTAATGGAATTTGGCAGCTGGAACAGCTGCATTAACCCCCTCTGGAGACAATAATCAGAAAAGCAAGGGACAGAAAATCTTCAGATAAGAGGATTTAACCTCCCAGTATGAAAAGCAGCTGAAAACCCAAGGAATTGAAACTGCAAAATTTGTCCAAGCAGATGGTATTAGAAATCTTCAACATAAAACAGTAAAGAAAAGGGAGGGAGGAAAAAGAATTCAAAGCAGTGATTATATGAAACATGTATAAGCAGTCATAAAAATTTTTATAGAATTACATAGTATCCCTTTCATGATGATGAAATGAGAACCGTTTATATCCAGTTCTGACTGCCTGTAGAACTGGCACTGTATCTAGGACAGGAAAGGACTTAAAAATATACGTAAAACATTTAAGTTAGCTAAAGTAAGATTAATTGCACTTAGTTAAGTAACTAAATCTAAGCAACTAAATATTGAGTTATCACATAGTAATTTTCTTTTTTCTAGTAGAACACAAAGTATAGAATTAAAATTGTACTTACAGCTTCACATTTGTGACCATCACCTTTTGCTCCAGGGGGTCCAGGTGGTCCAGGTAGGCCTGGGTTCCTCTAAATACAAAATAGTGAGTCAGAAATCATGTCAGTAAATGGATCTTCACAATGTAACAAATATTAAAAATATGTAAGGAAATATTTAACATCTTTTTGGAAATATAGACTAGCAGTTACCAGCTCTCGCAATTTGTTCGCAAAGTTCAGGAATGTTTGTGCTTTTTTAATTGTTGTTTGAATTGCTTAAATTGAGATCTGAGAAGAATAGGAGTTCTTATTAGGAAATTATTAATTTCTAGATTTTTAATTGTAGAGAGAAATCTTCAGAACACTGACTTTATCTTCAGCCAGTACAAAGCTAAATTTATTTTTAAAAACTCAAACTTTTATGAATTTGAGGGTAAGTACTGATATTTGAGCAATGAACTGAACAATACTGAAACATAATATAGCAGCCTTAAGTTATATGTTGCACATTTTGCACTTACATGTAATCACATTGGTTCTCTCATGCAGTAATGCAAAACTGCATTCTACAAGGGAAAATAGTAAAAGAAAGAAGTACAACCAGTTATAAGAAAGAGATAATTTCTCTTAGTTCAGCCTAAAATGCTCTGTATCAAGAGACAATCGCTCCTTCTGTTGACTTTTCTACTGACTTCCACTAAAGATTTGTGCATCTGCAAAACCTCAATGCTTCCTTTCACGGCCAGAAGAGAAGCAAACAGCAAACTTTCCTCTTTCCTCATTCCTCTGATTGTTTTCCTGACATTTTACGGGAAAATTAACTGAGCTTCCAGTAGACTGTTCTTCACAGAACTGAGAAAGAAAACATTACTTTCAGGCATTCGTCAAGATATGCTGTTGGTCTGTACTGTAGATGTTCACATGACAGCACTGGCAATCAGAAATCCCTACTGATGCTTGTAGGTCACACATCCACCTCACTCCTAAGCATGGTATGGATATGGCCATACAGAGAGAAGTGCATGCCTTTCACTCAGTCCCACTGAACCAAGAAATGTTAATAAACTCTACAAAAGCGTGTTGTAGAGTGTTGTAAACAACTCATATTTTCAATCATGGCTAGGCTTCGCGAATGAAGATTTGGGAAGGGCTCTACCCACGTTTCTTGCAAGCGCGTTGGTGGCTAAAAAGGCCAATATGAGAAAGGCATGTCCAGTTGCAAAAGACACAGCAGAAAGACTCCTTAGATGGTATATTCTGCAAGGCTCGATTCTTTCTGTGTTGTCTTTTCTCCTCAAGGGTGATCCTGCGTGCTTTCTCAAAAACATCAGCAGCGTTATAGACGGTCTGTCTCCAGGCCTCCCGATTGGAGGCCAGAGTAGACCAGTTATGGTGATCAATATGCCCGAGGCTGAGTTGTTGCTTCAGGGAGTCCTTGTATCTTTTCTTCGGGGCTCCTCTCTTGCGGCAGCCAGTGGCAAGTTCACCATAAAGCAAGATCTTAGGGAGGTGGTGGTCCTTCATCCTGGAGACGTGCCCTGCCCAGCGCAGCTGCGTTCTCAGTAGCATGGCCTCAATACTTGTGATTGCTGCCTGTTCAAGAACAGATGTGTTGGTCACATAATCTGACCAGTGGATGTTTAGGATTGTACGGAGGCAGCGTTGATGCATACACATAATATACCCTCAAGAATAATTACATACCAATAGCAAATATTTCCCTGTCTGTTCCAGTAAAAGTAAATAACCAGAAAAATGAAACTACAAATGACTGAAAACTGCTGCTTCATCCTTGCAATGCATCTGTAAATTTCTGCAACAACATAATACTTCAAGAAACCAAGAATGGAGTCCTGTTAGCTGCTCAGATCTCAGCAGCTGGTCTGTCTGAATACAATGTCCATGGCTGGAGAACAAATCAACTCATGCTCTAGTTAGATAGCCAACAAAAACAGACTGTGGGTCCAAATTTCCTGTCCCATGAATGTCTCTACCATAGATACAAATAATCAGATCTTATTAACCAATTTAGTCCTGTCGGAAAAATGGAAGAGCTGCTTTGGGTCTTCTAAAGATATACATTACAGGTTTGGATGAGGAGGTAGGTAAATGAAGAAACACGAGGTAGACTCAATGTTCTGGTTAAGATGAAACCCTGAAATTACCTTAAGATGAAATTTGGAATGGAGATGCAAGCATGCCTTATGCTTAAGAAAATTTTACATAGTAGGTCACTCCTGTATGAATCATTTCTATTCTCAAATTCAACAGGATCGTTTAACTGGAAGACTTTAAACAGACCCTGACCACCAGATTCAAACTGTGTCAGCCCTGGAAGATGATTCTTCATGTTTTCTAATTTTCAAATGATGGAATTCTGATCCAGCTCTGTGAAAATTTAAACAATGAGCATGCTTCTAGGTCTAACTTTATAATGGAAAGTCAATTTTACCTCTTCATGATTCTTAATATCTACAGTTCTTAAACTCTGGATAAAATGAGAAATGTTTTAGAAATATTTAATAAAAATTTATTTAACAATAAAGGAAAACCTGGATCATGGGCTCATATCTGCTCATGGGCTCATATCTGCTTTTACTTCTAATCCCACTACAGTAAGAAATGGCCGAACAGATGTTTTCATTTAATCTTAAGAGACCACTGTAAATACCAAATACATGTTAACACATTCTCTTCTGTAAGAATTGGGATTTTGTCAAGTGTCTGGTTTTGCCATTTATAGCTATAAATGCTAAAAATCTGCTTAAGTCAAATCTACACCCAAATCTTATGTAAGAAACAGTTCTCTAGTCCAGATTATTTGGTTAGTTTTTTTTTTTTAATAGTTACACTGAAAATACACAAGAGAGGGCCTAGGAGCAATTCTGTGATTACTTCTTCACAGAATTTCGTGATGTCTGGAACAGACAGTCACAGTGACTCAGTCTAAGTTGGTGCACTGGCAAAAATGCAAGTGCCACTGATGTCGCAGATGGTCTGCTGAATGAATTAATCTATTTTTCAGTCTTTCCAGGGAGGTTTAAAGTAATTTTCTAAAGCAGAAATATACAGATAGTTGCTTCTATAGTCTTTCAAAGGAAAAAAATATATGCAAACATAAATCTTGCGTCCAAGGTCATTACTAAGAAAAAATCAGCTGCCATAACAAAACCTAATTGATTAAACATATGACTGTGCAATTAAGTAATGTTCATCACTTCTTTGTATAAGAAAAAGACTTTAATATTCTAGATCATAGACAAAGTAAATAAATCTAGTGTTTTTTAAAATCAAAAATGAATGCTACTGAGTGTATGTGATTAAATGTGCTATGCAGCATTCTCTGGTAGGTGTAGGTGTACTGATAGAAATTTGTCAAGCCAGGCATAAAGCATTATTGGTATTCCTAAGATGTTATCACAAAAAAGTTATTGCATTAAGTGCTTTATTTTGAATTACATTGTGTTCGGTACACATAAACTAATTGGTTTCTGAATTTGGGTCTATCATCTATATTTCCACAAAGTGAGACAGTGGCATTGAGCAGAATATTTTATATGTAGACATGATAAATGTGGAAAGAAAAGAAAAAAAAAATTAGGTTTACAAAGGAAGTTCCTGGTTTCAGTCTGGAAAGGAGATCACAAGAATGATACCTTTCCCTGAACTATTCCCTTATGACAAGTGGCAGAAGGCTTATAGAAAGTTGCAACCCAGATCACAACTGGTAGAAATACAATATGATATAAACTGTGTTAAAGGGGAGGAGGTGAAACCTGCAAAGTAAAAGGAAATATATTCAGTTTTTGCAGTAGAGGACTTGGGATCAGTTCTAGGGACTGCTCTTTTCAGTTTGCTCTTAAATAATGTAGAAAGGTGAATGGCATGGTTGTCTAATGCTGCCTTATTATTCTGATTAGTTAAACGAAAGGCAATTCCAAGAAGTTGAGGAAAAATTCTACTTAAGGGTTTTGGTAACTTGGTGTTAAACTATCAGCCAAATTCCATGCTAACTCTAATACATTATTCAAGGAGAAAAAGCAGTCATAACTTTATGTACCTAACAATCATCCTGAACTACTATTACCACTTAGGAGAGAGAGAACCATTCCATGAAAATTTCAATTTACTGTTCAACAGTGATAAAACACCATAAATGTCATTCTTTTGTAAATTAATCTAAATTCTAAGTTTTTTCTCAATGGCAAGAGGATGGTCCTTGATCTTACCTTATTCTTCAAGCAGCCTTTGTACAAACTCATGTGCACTACAGAAGAGAACTTTTCATTCTCTTACTTTTGTAAAGCATGCAGTCTCTGTGTTAATACTGGATTCCCAGTTTTATCTCTGGTCTTTCACTTGTGTGTTGATCTTGCCATTTAACCACTAAAGGCTAGAACAGTGAGCACAGCAATCCTGCCACAGTCTACTGTATTTCATTCTTGGTGTTGATGTTAAAGTTGTAAGGAGATAACCAAGTTAATCATATTCTGTAATATACATACAAACCAGTATTTTCAAAATATCTATTTTTAAAATTCTTTACATTACGTCTTACTTATGCTTTTGAATGTGTGAGGTTGGTAATATTGAAATGCTGTTATACTGAAATACTGTTGAAATAACTATTATCTCTTAGTTTATACTCAGTAAAGAGCATATTGCCCACAGAGAGCTATAAAAGACCACATGAGATAATGACAGGTGGAGATAAATTTGAAGAACTACCTTCCTAATGAAGACTTCCTGTGGGAAGCTTCCAGGGTGAGGTATACTGGACTAGTCATTTAAACTATTTTGTGTTTCTTCTTTGAAAAGATAAATAAGTTTATTTTAAAACCAGACTTAACCTGGAGTGATGGAAAAGTTGAAGAATTTGTGAGTTGCTATCTAAAAAAGTCATTCAAGTGGTGTGTATATTTTCACAAGAGTTTTGCATTTGTCTCATGTTTATTTACTTTCCATCTTTTGTCTAAAAACTCCTACCATTGGTCCTATTATTGAATTTCCAGGAAGTCCATGCTCTCCCCGTGACTTCTTGGGTCCAGGATCCCCCTATCCAAAAAGAAACAAATTCAAAATTATATTCATTATATTCAGCTTTACTTTCCAAAGTTTTACAGAAAAGAACAAGTATTCGATTGTTTCTGACAGTGACAATTCTTGAGTTAGGTAATATGAAATCAGTATTTCTAGAGGAATATTTTACTACCTTGATTCTGACCTGTCTTATACTTTTGTTTCTCTGCAACTATGTCAAAGATTTTGTTCTGCCTTGATGAATAACTTGATGGGTTTAGTTTTCAACTGAAGGTTGAATATTATAATTCAGTTTCAGGGGCCAGATGCACCTGTGGCTTCTGCCTGCTTTTGCTCACGTCAGCAAGGCTGCACGACTTCGTTTCTGCCAAAGCACATAGAGAATAGCAAGGAAATTCAAAGACAAGTGCTGAAACAGAGTATGTTTAGAAAGCCTATAGATGCAATGGTGCGGCACTTCATAATTGCAAGCTCCACAGTCTGAAGACTCAGGGAGAAACTTGAGTTTTCCTCAAATATTATCCAATACAACTGTTTGGTAATCTTAGCTCTGCCAGTGGCTTTCCTGGAAACAATCTGGCTTAGAATTCATGTTCCTTGCGTTATCCCTTCATAGAGCAAAATTTGTCTCCTTCTAGTGTTTAATCTATGGCAACAGATGTTTCACTTTACATTAAGGATCTTACAAAGAAAATTTCAGTTTTCAATGAAACATTTGCAATTTTTCACACTAGTGAGAAGGACAGGCAGTATTTCAGGAAACATTCACTAGGGAATGCAGATCAAATATTCTATCAAAATCACTGGGTAGCTGTAACCATGACAAAGAAATATCAGAAAAAACAGCTTTCTAATGTTACTGTCTCCATATTAGTAACAGCATAATGGTTGTCAAGGGAAATAAAACTCCAGCCCCCAAACGTGGGTGTAGCTTAAAATAAATAAACTTCCAATCACAGAATCACAGAACAGGCCAAGTTGGAAGGGACCCACAAGGATCATGAAGTCCAACTCCTGACCCTGCACAGGACCACCCCCAAGAGTCACACCATGTGCCCAAGAGTATCATCCAAATACTTCTTGAACTCTGTTAGGCTTGGTGCTGGGGAGCCTGTTCCAGTTTTCAACCACCCTCTGGGTGAAGAATCTTTTTCTAATATCCAACCTAAATATCCCCTGACACAACTTCAGGCCATTCCCTTGGGTCCTGTCACTGGTCACCAGAGATGGACACAACCATGTCTATCCAGGAGTCCCCAAAAGACCTCAGACCACGGTAACGCCCAGCTTTGAAAAACATTCCTCGCATTAGAAGTTTACAATGTCTTTCTTTTCTGTTGCACGTACTGGGATGTTTCAGGAACACAATTACTAGTTATCACTGTACTTCCACGGTGGAAAGAGAAAACAAACCTGTGTAGCCTGTTACATTACTATCAACAGTCAGAAACACAGTACATATTTGTCTAAACAGAGAAATTATTATCAAGCTAAAGACACAAAGTTTTGAATATTTTCTAAAAATCAACTTGCATTTTATAATTACCCAAAACACTTGTTTTCTCTCATCAGCCACTGCACATATAAGCACTGCTCTAAAATTCAGTGAAGGGTTTGGAAAAACTCCTACAGACTTCAGTGGATTTTGGATCATGGCCCATCTGCTATACTGTACTGAACAGAATAAAATCATAGTGAAAAAGGCAATAAAGTCTTAAAAGTTGTTATTTTTCAGCATGAATTTTATCAGTGAACAATCTTCACTTGCTTACTGGTCTATTAAAAAATGTCACAGCAACCAGAAAAATGTGAAGAAGGGAGACCACTGTAGTGAAACCTGTCTTCATAGAAGTCATGCCTTACAACATGCCACTTGTATTTTCCTCACATGAAATTTAGCACATTATCATGGTTTGAAACCATTATAGGATATATGAGCACCCCATGTCTCCTTTCTTCTCTGTGTTTGCCTTTTTACTCCAGGTGTACGCTGAGCTTTTTACATTCCCTTCTTTCTTTCTCCTCCGTGCACAAACAAGTAGAAACCACATCATAGCCCTCTGTGGTGTCCTATAGCCAGATTGAGTATATTGTATGTGCAATACCCTCATTTACTTGTGTGTGGGTGCACATATATTTTTAAGGAAGAAGAAAAATGGGGATGAAATTACTTCAGAGTGATAGGATGTACGTTAGTGATTCATCCACTCTAAAAACTAATGTCAAAGCTGAAAAGCATCACTTGAAGTTGAAGTTACCTGACTTTATTTTTTTTATATTTACTGCTTTATTTTTAAAATAGCAGTGAATTTTCAAATGTTTTTAAAACCTTCAAAGTCGGATTTACTGTTGCTGAATCCACCTATTTTACTCAGCAGGCCAACTCCCACTCATGTCAGGTACATTTTCTCCATAGAGAAAATGAGATGGATGTAGCCCTAGCTATCTTTATATGCCATTTCAAGTAGTACCTACAGGTGTTCACTTGGAAGTGACATACAAACATCCATCTCCAAAAAAAAAATCATCTAGTTCAGCGTATTACTCCTTAGAACTATACACAGACATATTCTTGCAGGGTTTTAATGGCATATTCTAAGAAAACAAATGCATAGTAAATTTGGAAAAAAACAACTTCAAAGTGATTCATTGCACAGGAGGGACTAAACCACAACAGAAATCTAATAAGGATCTTTTATTTTAAACACATGGCTTCAGGAGGCAATAACTATGTGTCAGTTCAGCATGCTGTTAAACGGACCCCAAACATTCTTTGTTAATTTTTACTGCTTTTTAGTCCTTATTTCTGAAATTCAATCTTTTTGTTACTACAACATGGAATTTTAACTTTTTAAAATTAAATTCTTTTAATTTTGATAGAAATGTGCACTAGAAACTTTCCAATCTCTGGTCTCCAGGAAATGCATATCAGATAATCACATTTGGTCCAGCAGGTCCCTGAATAGATGATCCAGCTGGTCCAGGGGGTCCTCTCTCTCCTGGTTCACCCTGTTACAAATGGTATAATCTAGATATAAACAGATGGTTTCACTTTCTGAACTGAAAATATGTACATATAGATCTACCTGAAAAATAGGCAATATTGGGGAAAAAACTTAAATCAACCTACTGTTCTTGTGAAACCTGGTCCAAGTTTCATGTTTTAAATAACTATTGGTTGAACTGTGTATTTGACTTTTTTAGCTTTAATTAATTTCTTGTGTCCAGCTTACAAAGCTAATGGAATAACCAGAACACTTGCATTATTTCAATTTCCTTATCACGCAGAGTGACACTTACTCACAAAATATTATAAAAGAAAGTTAATGATTCAAAGTAAAAATTTGCAAAATGCTCATGGTTAGAATCACTTGGACACCTTTAATTTAGCTTATCAGTGCTCATACATAACTATAAGGTATGTAATTATATTCCTTTTCTCCTTGGGACTTCTATGTCTTTTAGACAGAGGATGGAAATATTTCTGCTTTTCCTTTGTTCTGTTAAGTCTCTAAGGATTAGATGCTTGAGAAATTTATACATTACATAAATTCCAAAGATTCTTTTATAAAATACAGAGAGAAGGGTTACCATGGAGGAACAAGCTTACTTTTGGTCCAGCTGGGCCTTACAGTCCTTTATGACCAATCAGTCCTTGGCATCCTTTTTCTCCAGGGTCACCCTAATGAAAACAAACATTTTTTTCCAATCACAGCAAAGATTCATTCACAGCTGTGGATACACAGCCAAAACCACAATGATAATGACACCCATAGTTAGAAAGGTAATTAGATGCTCCACTCCAACTGAAATCCCGCTCAGTTTTAGAATTTGCCTCAAATGTCATGAATTTAACCAGGTGGAAGATAAAACCTGTCTGTCTACTAATACATCTTTCCAGGCTTTTAATTTCATTTTCAGATATCTAACTAGTCTCCTAGTTTCTCTTAGCTTCTCTTTCCCTATCAACATACTGAACTAATTTGTCATCTCCTAACTTTACTGAACACTCTGCACTGAATTTTTAGGAAATCTTTCCTGCCCTATTAACTTTAGGTTCTGTGTTTATAGTCTGATTTTGCTGCACTTGTTCAAGCTATGGAACACATTGCTCTGTCTTAAATCCTTTTAAATCATCAGTTAAAATAGAGTAGCTACTTAAGATGTAATGAATGAAAAAGTAGGTCAGAATCCAAATTCTTGTAAAATAGGTCCTTCTAAAGTTTGTAATATTTTTCCAGTGTGCATGTCAAGCCATACCTTTTGAGCTACATCTCCTTTGCCAGGGGGTCCTTCTGGGCCTCTTGGACCTTGATTGCCCTTTCCCCCTAAGAGATATTAAGTGCTAAATTACTGTTCATGTAGCTAGTTTTATTGAATCAATAACTTACAAGAAGCAATGCTTGCATAAACACTTTCCTCAAAAATGTCAGTAAATATCTGGTTAATATTTTTCCCTGTAAAAAATAAAGTATTCTGTCTTTAAAGGCCCATATTCCTTTTTTTCACAGACATTTGTAACAGTACCATTTGCAATTGCATCGACAAGAAAAGGTCTCGCTTGACCAATTCCAAGGAAAACAACTTTTAAAAAGCAGTAGTTTTAGACAAGCCTGTAGCCAATGGCCAATCCAGGCTGCAAATATTTGCCAGGAACATTACTTCAAATAAGTCACAAATAGCCCACATAGAGCATTCTATTAAGGAACTTGACCTACAAAATATTTTGAACAATGTAAGTCAGATTAGAACATCAGGATGCCTGTAGGTAATTCAGAGAGTGAAAAGTAGATTAAAACAAGGTTAAAATCCTTTTCTGATATGAGCTGTTGATGAAAGTGATGCCTGTTGTTGATAGGCATCAGTCTGGATCCCACTTCTATGAGACAGCTTCACACCTGCAAATAACTGCCATAATTTCCCCCTGCTTCTCACTTCAGGCATCAAGCTGTTCTGTGCACAGTCCTGAATACCCAGGGTAGCAGCTCAGTCCTACTATTTTTACTTTTAATGGA